AAGAGCTTCTGCCCCCCTTCTCGAATGGTATGGTTGTTGTGTGTTTTTAAATTGTGTATTGTTTGTCTTTTTTATCCCCTGTCTGTACCCCTCTCCCTGACTGAATTGTGAGCCGCCCTGAGTCCCCTTCGGGGAAAAGGGTGGCATATAAATGAAATAAATCCTAAATCCTAATCCTAAACATACACTGCCATGAATGACAATTGGCAACATAGATGCCATGATCAAATGGAGAAAGAGCATTATCACTATAAGGTTGGCTGGATTTACTTCCTGCAGTTTTATATCTTCTAAGGTGGGGGGTAGGAATGTTGTGATTTCACATTTCAAAAGTGTGAAATAATCAGCGAACAGGAGTTCTAGAGAGGCTCATTTTTTATGGGTGCTGGTTTAGACTCTTGCTTTATATTTGCTTCAAAGGGGATGCTAACCTGTTCTGCCCCCCCCCCTTCCGTCCAGTAACGAATGCCGAGATAAACTTAACTGGAATGCCACAACACTTTATTAGCAGGACTATAAATCTTGGTGGCTGAAAGCCCAAACACGAACGAACAGATAAAGAACTTTGGCAGCAACCCAGACTCCGACAGATACAGATAACAGCTTCTCCAGCGTTGTTAACCAAGTTGAATCCTGCAAACAGTCTCCTCCCAAAGTCTCTCCTTATATACTATCTTGAGTTGAGCCTAATTACAACCACCTGGGTCCAATTATCTTTTGTATCTGTGTAGTTCTCTGCATCTATCTGCCCACCATTGCCGGGCGTGCAGGACCAACTCCCTTGTCTCCTCCCCACTGCTCCAGGGTCCGATGTCAGGGACAAACTCCCTTTGGCTTTCACCGCTGCTCCATGCCTCAGGCGCCTCCTGGTGGCCTCTCTAGTCCCTGCTCGGAATTGGAACCCTGTCCAGGGTCCTCCACATCTTCCAGAGCCAACTCATAGGGCCCCTCGCTGTCAGAGTCTGTTTGCAGCTCCAACGACTCCTGCAGGGCCACAACACTAACCCTCTATGATTCCTCTCTTCCACATTTGCTTGTTCTCTTCCAAGACTGCTTGAAATGGATAATCAGATTAATTTAAGTGCAAATAAATGCAGAATCTTTGGGATAAAAACTCTGCTGAACCCACACTTAACTAAATTTAATTGTTTATTGTTTGTTTGTTTTGAGCCAGTTTGGACATGTTCCTGCTGTTTTCTTGGCAAGATTTTAGAAGTGGTTTGCTACTGCCTCCTTCCTAAGAGAGTACCCAAAGTCATTCAGCTGGCTTTGTGCCTAAACTGGGACTAAAACTCATAGTCTCCCAGTTTCTAGCCTGGTGCCTCAACCATTATTTCAAGCTGGCTCTCTGTTTTATACAATATCATTTTGTTCAGTCAGTAGTTCTGACTATGACTTGCTGAAGCCAACATAACCTCACTGAGGAAATTGGGAGGCTGTGATTTAAAGGCAGATGAATAGATTAAGAGAGTGATTTGAGTAATTTGATTAGCTGACATTCTCTGATGAGCCACATGATTTAGAAATCACTTGAAAACCTGCAATATTATTATTTCAATTTATTCACCTATAATTCACATTTCTAAGCTTAAATATTTCAATATCTCTGAGTGGCTAAAAGAATATAGAACATTAACCAGAACAGAAATAAAACAATGAGGGAGGGAGGGAGGGAGGGAGAGAGGGAGGGAGGCAGTGAGAGAGAGAGAGAGAGAGAGAGAGAAAGGGAGGGAGGGAGGGAGGGGGGGGGAGGGAGAGAGGGAGGGAGGCAGTGAGAGAGAGAGAGAGAGAGAGAGAGAGAGGGAGGGAGGGAGGGAGGGAGGGAGAGGGAGAGAGAGGTAGGTAGGTAGGTAGGTAGGTAGGTAGGTAGGTAGGTAGGTAGGTAGGTATTAAATGCTGGAGCAAAACAAGTTGACTACTTAAATCAAGATTTAAGACAAAAAAGCTTAACATATGCACAATGTTCATACATTTGTCCACAATGCTTACCTTGGCTTGCTGTAAAATGGCCTGGGCCTGGGCCTCCTGGAAAGATACTGAAGGTCCTTTAAGCAAATCACCACGAAACTGGAACTGGAAATAGATCAGTAACACATATTCAAGGAAGAGAACAATGGAATACGGAGGCATATTGCCATCTACAGCAGTGTTTCTCAACCTTGGCAACTTGAAGATGTCCGGACTTCAACTCCCAAAATTCCCCAGCCAGCGAATGCGAATGCTGGCTGGGGAATGCTGGCTGGGGAATTCTGGGAGTTGAAGTCCGGACATCTTCAAGTTGCCAAGGTTGAGAAACACTGATCTAGATAAACTAGATGGCAATATGCCATCTCTATGACACCTATCCTACAAAAAAAAAAAACCACAAATCTTCATATCTAGCATCTTTAAGTGAAAACATCATCCACATTTAGTAATTGAAATATTGATTATTATTTGGTGCCAAAAGGTTAGAAAATGGGTTCAGCTGTAGAAAACTCAAAATGTTCCGGTTTTGAAGATTATCAACTTTCCTGTTCTTAGAGAGGCATGAATTGCATATTTGAACTTAGCTCCTCAGTCTTCACACTTTCCATATCAAAATCCATTCCATATTAAAAAGAAAAAGTCTCTCCTGGATATTAGGCCACGTAAAAGTGAGTTCCTCTTGGCCCGTTTCTTACCTAACCTATCATCTGGGATCTTATTTTGTAATCAATGTCAACACATCTTTGCACCTGGAATATACTCAAAATAATGCCCCTGGAAACTGAGAGAGGATTCTCATTTTACATCAAATATTCACTAAAACTGAAAATCGCTAAATCTGTTTCTCAAAGGGACTGGGTGATGATGTTTCCTCAATGTATATCTCATATTCTCAAACTGATCCGTTTCCAAACTGCATCACCTACTGGAAACATGAGCATTGTCCCAGGAGGTCCGCGAAGCCCATCTGCTCCTGGAAGGCCTGGGAAGCCTGGTGATCCCTGTGGAAAAGTGAGTTAAGATACTTCAATCATTCTTGAAAGTCGTTGGACTAAAAGAAAGCAAGATCAAGCTGGGGCTTGTCAAAGAGCTACCCAGAAGGGGTGCATGCCAGCAATTCCTTATTCCCCACACCCGCCATTTTCAGAGAAGACACAAAATCGCCAGGAGGAAAGATCGAAGAGACTATCATTCCTTCGAACCACGTAGTGATTTCCTTACCCTCTCGCCAGGATCTCCTGGAAATCCCGGGGGCCCTGGTGATCCCATTGGACCCATCTCTCCCTGGGAAATGAAACAGCAGAAAATTAAGATAAATGAAGAAAATCTCACAGACAATCCTTCTTTTAAAATAGAAACATCATGACAGAGTAATATCCAAACCCAGCATTGTATCGAATGTATCTACAGCAACAATATTATGCCTGACTGTTCCAAAAATCAGGCTGCAGACAATGAAGTTTGAAAATTACGCATAGTTTCCTTTAACAGGAAAAGACCGCATAATGCACCTAGATACCAACATCAATCATTAGTCTCCTTCTGCAGATGTACTTGGATTATACTTTTTGCAAAACTCTGTACTTCTTGACTAAAGTATCAGATATAGACTTTTATAAGAAGTCTACCGGTAAGCAACAAACATTAACAGATCCTTATTGAAGAAAGAGGTTCTTAATTCTAATTCCTCCAATTCAAGCCTTTTTAAAAAACTCAATCTTATCAAACAGGTACTCCCATTTGCTTACTTCCTTAGACAGGTAGTCCTCAACAGTTCATTTACTAACCACTCAAAGTCACAAGGGTACTAAAAAATGATGTTTGGCCGTTTTTCACAGTTACGACCCCTTGGTCACGTGATCAAAATTGCTGCTTGGCAACTGACTCACATTTATGACAGTTGTAGTATCGTGGAGCCACATGATCCCTTTTTGCGACCTTCTGACAAGCAAAGTCAATGTGGAAACCATTTGTTACTCAACCGATTTGTTACTAACTTATCAACTGCAGTAATTCACTTAACTTTGGCAAGAGATGTCGTAAAATGGGGCAAAACTCACTTAACAAAGGTCTCACTTAGCAACAGAAATTTTGGGCTCAGCTGTGGTCATACATCGAGGACTACCTGTAATGAGTTTAAATGGAGGGACAAATGGTCTTTATTCCATAGACATTGATAATTTGTTATAGGAAGGCAATATTGGGGATGTAAATAAGAAGTGTTTAAAAGTTCAATGATCACAATAGTGGTTGATCTTTGATAGACTGATAAAAAGACCCCCAGCCCCCTCATGAAGTGGTTTCTTGAGTTTGCAGGAGTCAACAGCATGAGGGCTGTAACTCAGTTCAAGCGCAAGAAGTTGGCATCTAATTTCCAAATGCATTCAGAGATACCCTGTTCTGTAATTTTTTTATGTTTTGTTGCAACTGCCTGGCAAAACAAAACAGACAGAAGAGTACTATCACTTTCATGCTAAAATATTGGGGTGGGTGGAATCACAGAGATATTCCCATTCCCATGAAATATACTGGGAGTTTTGGGGCAAATCAATGATCATGCAGAACTGCAAACCTCAGTGGGTCATGTTCAGGGCATTAATCATGCTATATGAAGTTTACATTTATCTTTTTGACAGAAAACTCCCTGTTTGTGTTTGGGTCTTAAACTACTTATCCCATGCCATGCAAGCAAGTTTCCAGTATATTAAATGTATTTTCAAATATGTATGATTGAGACAAAATCCAACAGAGAAGGGGCAATCAACCCTCTCAAGAGATTTCTGTGTTTCTCCCATCTAAGGACATATGGGGGAAAGGCAGAAAAAGGAGCAGAAAGACATGGAGATAAGTCTATCCCCAATCCTATTTTTAATGGCACCAACCTGGATTGTGCTATTGCAAATCCTCTTTCCCCACCCAGGAAGGGGGGGGAGCCAGGAAGGAGGTGATCACCTCCTAAACAACTTTAAAGTGACTGGGAAAACTGATGTCACCATACATTGTCTCTCACCTGTGGACCTGGATATCCAGCTGGTCCTTCAAAAATCATACCCTGCAACAGAAAGGAGAAAGATTTAACAACCCTGAACTGGTTCTGAAGGGAAAGGGTCATTTTGCGGCCTGTGAATATTCACAGTACAATATTATATGTGAATTTAGTTGTCTCAAAACACTGAAATAAGTTCACTCGCTTGTAAGAAGGATAAGATAAATGCTAACGATTCTTTAATACCTGAGGAATAAACCACTTGCATGCTTATGGTTGAATGCTCTACACAAGTAACAAGCTTGTTGAATGTATAAAAAAAAGAGAGAGCTAATTGTTGCATAATTAGATCACCTGTACCCATGAGGTATTATCATGAGATATGCCTGTGATTCTGGGGCACAATTAAGCTAACTATCCTCAGAAGGGAAAACTATATTGTGATCTATACTTATCGGAGGGAAAACCCAGCATATCACAGCCAATAATAAACCACACAAAAGATTCAACTAAGAATCTGTTGCAATGCAACAGGAACACTGCAATAAAGGAACAGATTTCCCACTCTCATATATTTGTGTTTGTTTTTGTATTTGTCTGCAGGATTTTTGTCCTCATCCAAGATCCAATTGCTTCATCTCAAGTTTCCAGAGCATATTCCTAGTATCTCTCAACTGCATGGAAACCACTAGAGTTTTGGATATTTATCCTTCCAAGAATCAAAATGGAATTGACCACAAACCCCAAGCCACCCCTTTGTGGTGAAATTAAGTCTCCAACCAGGCTGATGGGTTTTGGCAAAGCCAGAACAGAAAGCATATCTTACTCACAGGTTCAACGACCGCTGCCTCCCCTTTCTGTCCCTTCAGATTTGGTTGCTGCTACAGACACAAAGAGAATAATCACCATGAGGACCAGTAATTATGATAATGTGAGAATCTGCATTGTAGATGGAGACGACCTCCTAAAGTAGAGAAGATATTCAAGATGACTGTTTCTTCAACTGAGCCACAAATCTTACGCTACTATTCAAACAGAAACAAGTTACTGTACCTTAAATGAAGGTGGATTTGATTCTGGACTGTGTTAGTTGTTGGAAAGAAGGGTGGGATTTTTCTGAGTTGACAGTGAGAACTGGGTAGCTATTGCTTAGATAGAAAGTGATCTCCAGTCACCTCTCCTGTAAAGTGAGCTATCCCACACTTCTCCAGACTTAATGCATGGTGAGTGAAATAGGAGCAAATAAATGACTTAACACAGTGTTTCTCAACCTTGGCCACTTGAAGATGTCTGGACTTCAACTCCCAGAATTCCCCAGCCAGCGAATGCTGGCTGGGGAATTCTGGGAGTTGAAGTCCGGACATCTTCAAGTGGCCAAGGTTGAGAAACACTGACTTAACATCTCCAGAAATTGGAAACAAATTCAAAAACTAAGTTTCTGTGAATTGGTCCCTGGAGCAAACTCAACTCCGAAGGCATAAGGCAAGAGAAAGGCAAAATAGCATCCAATAAAAAAGGGATAAAATTAATTACTAATTACAATTAGTTCTGAGCACCTATGAATTAAATCTTACTGAGTTTTCTTTTATCACCAACAACTTTGAGCAAAAAGATCCTAGAAGATTGGATTTTTTTAAAAAAAATCTTGTTTTATTTTACAATGGTTTCCAGTTTTGATCCAAACTAGGTGGCAGCACTGAGGCAATTTTGACTGATCTTAAGAAGCTGAGCCAGGCTGGATTGGATTAGTACCCAAGAGGAATTATCAGGATTATAGGCTGGGCTGAAAAGTCCCTAAAAGAATCATAGAAAAAGGAAGCAGCAAACATGTTTTCTTTCTTCATGTCCACGTAAATGCTGAAAGTTACGTTTGGCTTGAAAGAAATGCTTGATGATACTCAAAAGCAATTTCTTAGCCCAGAAGGTGGGACTGAAATCCTTGCCATGAGAAATAACGCATCGTGGGAACATGGGATGCACAGCAGGTTCTGGACTGAGTCAGAAGACTCAGGAGAGAGCAAGTCAACCATGGTTTAAATGCCAAGTTTCCATCCCAGCGTGGTGGCAATTAGCCATTGGGAAAAGAGTGGGTGAGGCATAGGGGCAACAAGACATTCATAAACATTTATGATTAATGTCATAGGAGTTTCAGTGCTCCTAAGTCCCAAGTAGAAATAGGGCACTCTTGGCAAATATCTAGGTGGAGATAGACATATTCTTTTGAGAAACAGCAGAGCCCAGTTTTTATAATTTCTTCTCTTTAAACACATAACATTCACTTTTTTAAATCATCTGTAATAGATCCTATGGGAAATAGTTTGGCATGTTTTGAGCATCATGGACAGCAGACACAACTAAAAATATGTCTTGGGTACCAACACAACTCATCTCCATTCTACTCATTAAAATATATTTGTGATTTTTTAATATAAAGAGAGATTGTGGTTGGGTGTGTGTATGTATATGTATGTGATTTTTTATCTATCTATCTATCTATCATCTATCTATCTATCTATCTATCTATCTATCTATCTATCTAGATATATCTATCTAGACATGTGTGTGTGTGTGTGTATGTATCTATATCTAATCTATCTATCATATATGACACTATAGTTGTCATATATATTTAGTTGTGACACTAAATATGTGTGTGTGTGTGTGTGTGTGTGTGTGTGTTTTTAATTTGTGCTGATAAATAAAAAATCTAATATATATGTCTGGATGGTCTCTTGTGACGAGCCGAAGGACAGAGAATGGAAGTGTGATGTTCCTCCCATATTTGGGCATACCAGGGGTTGTGACTTTATTTATTTTTATATATATATATGGGATTTGTTGTATATATATAGTATATCCTCAGCTGATAAGGAGGAGGACCTGTGGCTCAATAGTTAAGACATCTGCCTAAGATGCAATACAGCACAGGTTCGAATCCCAGTAAGGGTATGGCTAGCTGATGAGAGCTAAATAGCTTGAAATAGATCTATACTAGTCTCCCTTTATTTATTGATCAGCACAAATACAACAAATGTAACAAAGGCAACAGTAAAAATATTGGGTTTCTGTCGTGATGGACTCTTGTGACGAGCCGATAGACAGATAATGGAAGCAGTTAGCTTCCTCCCATAATTGGGGCATACCAGGGGTTGTGACACTATATATATATATATGAGCCTGGGAAGCTCCTTTTCAGATTAACATATTTTATTCAGCGGTATAAGGTTTCATGAGCTGCATCTCACTTCATCAGATGCACAGACTGGCTAGACTGATGTGGGAGGGGGGCAAGACAGTGTGGTTATCCAGATGGGTTATATGAGAGGCAGATTATAAACACACTGTAGCTCGGCTGAACTACCACCTTTTGCTATTCCATCTTCTCATTGATTTCAGATGAGACTTTGGGTCTTGACCCACAACAATCCGTGCAACTGAGGGTCATGGCCTAACAATGAAACAACAGAAGGAGTGTATGAGGGAGTGCAAATCAGGAGCAATTTATGCGCAAGAATGCTACCCTCATTGATAAGATTCTCTTTGCTCTAGCAATGGGAAGAGTGTTAAGTTGGCTCAAAGATTTTACTATTATTTTCAAAAAACTGTACAATCAGTATTTTTAATACAAGAGAGATTAGTCCTCTCCTCCCTTATTCCAAAGCTTAAAGTGTTTAAATGGTATGTCTTGTTTGCAAGATTATCTTTTAATTAGAATTGTAATACTTGCATTCCAACTGATTAAGCCTCAGTAGGTTTTTGAACTTACACAATCAAAAACAAGCACCACTGAGTAAAATTGAGCTTAGTTCCAAATAAGGAATGCATTATTTGAATGAAATGAGATTATTTTCTGCGGTGTTCAGATTGTTACTCATTGCTTAGAGTTGCTACCTCGGGAAATAGGATGGTGGCTTCAATGCGCTCAGCTGGATCATAGTGCTCTGCTTCACTGGCCCCTCGTCGGTCATAGTAGTCCTCATAATCTTTATTGTCAAGTCTCTCATCAAATTCTCTGTAAGTGACATTGGCATTCAAGTCTCTATTTTCGTTGATTAAATACTCTTCTCCAAGAAGGTCCTGTTGGGATTAGGAAAGGGGGATATGAAGTACAGTAGATGTATTTAATGATAATTACTTTGCACACTCACGATGAGGCTCTGCCTATATGTGACTCTTTCTCCTACCATTACATTCTGTTTTTCTTTAAAAGAAAAGAAACTTTGTTCATTGAATCCTGTCTGGGACTGCAGATATGCATAGTGATGGCGAAGCTTGTCAACATCGAATGCCGAAACTGGAATGCATGTGTGCATGCCGGAGCCCCGGAAACCTGAAGACCAGCTGGCCAGTGCGCATACTGGCCTCCTGGTTTCTGACGTATGCATGTATGCTGGCCAGCTGTTCTTTGCATGCATTGGAGCACAGGAAACCCGGAAACCAGGTGGCCAGTACATGCATGCACACCAGCCAGCTGGTCTTCAGGTTTCTGGGGCTCTGGCATGTGTGAAGATTAACTGGCCGGTGCATATGCATGCACCGGAAACCAGAAGAGCATCTGGCAATGCCGTACATGCCCACACAGAGAGCTCTACATGCCACCTCTGGCACATGTGCCATAATTCACCATCACAGTTCTAGAATCTAGGTACATGGTTTTGTGTGGGATACAGCCTCTAAATATACATGTTCCTCTCCTGAATATACCAACAGACTTTTGGATGCTTATATATATATACATACCATATTACCAATAATGAATGGATCTAACAAGTTATGGAAATGGTTATATATAGCTCTTGATTAGATGGGATGAGGAACATGAACCAAAGGTTTGATCCAGTGGATTTTCTACCCCTGACAAGGCTAAGTATTAAAGTATTCAGTACAACTGAAAAAGTTATGGATTTGCATGACAGTAATGTTAAGGGAAGTAGTATTTTACTCCCATTTTAATTTATAAGACATAATAGCAAAATGTAGACTTCAGGGAAGTTTGTTTTTATGTTACATCATTTCATTTATTGTTGCTTTGCTTTGTTTACTAGAACCTCAAGATCCACCAACTGAAACAAGAATATATACACATAGAATTAAAGTAGCTTTAATTAATTAAAACAACTTGAGATTTCCCTTGTATCCCAGAAATGAAACCAAGTGCTAACAAAAAAATCTACCTTTTGTTATTTCTTTCCCGTTTTCATCATTTCAACTATACTGTATGAATAATTCCTCAAGTTGTTTAAGCGACAATCCAGATCATACCTAAAATCTTAATCCAATCTTAAAAGCCTAGCAAGGTCTCTCCCAAACAAAGATTGGAGGTAAATTTCAAGGAGTAGATTTCATAAATCTGAAGAAGTGTGGATAAACTATTAAAAGTTCAGTACCTTAAATTCAAATTATATAAAAATCTAACCAGTAGATCCCAAACTTTTATTTTCCTATTTCTACTCTATCCTAAACTAGGTATGCACTTCCAACAGCTAAGAATTAAATTACTGTTTTACTTCTTTGTTTTGGCCACACACTGAGAGGGAAAAGGCAGCTCGGTGATTTCTATCCCAGACAGTAATACTTACACTGTACCCTAGAAATATCTACATTATTTCTTACAATTATCCCATGGGAAATTACTGTGGCATACAAGTTGGATTTTCCCAGCAGTAATTTAATCACCAAATTGCTACTAGTTATGTGCAACCCCTATTGAGATAAGAGTATGTCCAGTTACTCTTTCAACAGTGAGGTCCTGAAAGCACATTCCATTCAGCATTTTCAACAGTCCAACAAGGGTTATTATAAACTCTCTTTTGAGGGTTTTAATGAAAAGGTTAGGATTGAAACTGTATGATGGATGGAGAATGTGAGGGTGATGTCACTGGCTGGAGACCAATCAGCTTCCACTTCCAAAATTTAAATAAAAACAATTGTAATGTTAGGCAAAAAAAATGTGGCATAGTGTTTTCTGGGAATATAGTACCTCTTATTAGGAGTGGATTCAACTGAACAAATCCAAATCACATTCTCACTTTACATACAAATGATGCAACCAAACTAAAGTAAAAATAGGAAAGATTTTGGATGTCTCAGAAACGCCTGCTCCCTAGTGGCTTATCCCAATTGCCTTTTTTATACATTGTGCTACCATCCTTCACTGACAGCTACTGTCACCCAATGGTGAGATGCAAAAAAAATTACTACCAGTTTTGTGGGCATGGCTTGGTGGGTGTGGTGTCTTGGTGGGCGTGGCAGGGGAAGGTTACTGCAAAATCCCCATTCGCTCCCGATTAGCTGGGACTCAGGAAGCAGAGAATAGATGGGGGCGGGGCCAGTCAGAGGTGGTATTTACTGGTTCTTCGAACTACTCAAAATTTCCACTACCGGTTCTCCAGAACTGGTCAGAACCTGCTGAATGCCACCTCTGCATTCCTCCCATTAAAGTCAGCTATGGGTCCCAATGGTTGCCCTAAAGAGCCACACTAATCAGGTTTCAGGATGGGTGCAGCTTTCTGGTAAGACAGACTGCCATAGGTTTGACTCTGGGGATTCTTCAAGGACACCAACTATTCTGAAGAACTCGCAGCCCCAATGCTTTTCTCCAAATATCATTTAAAGGAAAATATTGAAGCAGCTCTTGAGAATGGCTGTCTGTCCATCATGATGCCTCATATGAGGACTCTGAAAAGGTGCTAAAGAAGGCAACCCTTTTGCAAATGCTAAATTCTTAGCCTGATATTGTGAAAATCTGCCAGAACAAACAAAACATTGCACGTTCTACTATAGGCAGTATCTTGGGAAGACAATCGGTAGGGACTTGGTTCAAATCCAAATCCTTCCCTGATCTGAGTAGACTACCTCATTGTATCTAAAGATAGAATTGGCAACAGAGATTCTTTAGATGTTATTCTGATTTTGTATTTTGGAATGATAAAGTCACAGGAAAGTGAGACCATACGCGTGGTCTGAAGACATCTTATGGCCTTAAAGTTTTTATAAGATTCATGGATTTTGACAGGCCACAGACCACAGATGAATTAGCTGACATCCCAGAGCTTCATGTGGCCCTCAAAGCAGCTTCTAAAGACCTTCGAAATTTGATACCAAATTATACTTTCAGTGAAGCATGTGAATTAAATTATTAAATACATGACTGGGAAGTAAATTCAATCAAATTAACTTCAGCTGTTTCCAGGCCTGTTCGCTACATTTTGGAGTGGGGGTTTGGCTGGCTCCAAAACCAAAATGGAGTTTTCAGTACAAGAAAAATATTGCACCTAGACTTTCCCACCTTTATGTCTACCCCAACCACATTTTCACCCCTTCCCTGCTTTCTTTAGACTCTGAAAGGAGCACACCGTGTGTGTGTGTGCGCGCGCGCGCGCGCGTGCTTGGAAACAATGTCTATCTTACCTCATAATTATCTGTAAGGTTGAAGTTGGCTGTCATAGTGGTAGAAGTGAGAATGCCAAGCTCTTCATTAGGATCCTTTCCCCAGAACTCAGTAGCTGCCTTCATCGGACTGATATCAGTTGGAGTCTCATTCTTGAGGGTGGTGGGGAGACATAGGATGTTAAAGGAATCTATATAGCTTATTTGGCAACATACATTTAGCAATGTGCACACAGATTTGTACAAATTCTTTAGGGGTTAGAAATATGCCAGCAGCCAAAAGCCAACTAAAGTGGTCATGAAATAAGAGACATACAGACCAATAAAATCTGGTACCTTGAGGTTAGAGCAGAAACAGCCTTTCATACCTCCATGCCTTGGAGATGTGTTTGGAACTTATTATAAAAGACTAATCTTTCAGTGTAAAATCTCATGGCTTCATATCTGCCAAGTTCCCTGGGGGTTTAAATACTGAAATACATTTGGCAGCACCTACTAGTTAAACCATGTTTGCTAGCAGAGTGGAGTTTGGTAAGAAAGCTCCAGTTGATCAGAGGCCCTGCCATATTGGGAAAGAGGCAGAAATACAACTGAGCTTTCAAGCACATTAAGTAGTACAGCCTTTCACTCTGAGACTTACGAAACTCAGAACACCTGGCATGAAAATTCACATTTGGTGCCATTCATTTATCTGGAAATCTGCAAAGAGACAGCAAAATCTATACAAGGAAGAGAGTTTCTTCTGTCAATTTGCCCCAGCCTATCATCAATATGTGAGTAAACTGTATGGGTTGTTGGACATCTTTGTGTTGGGTATGTCATTTTCTAGGACTGATGTGCCTGAAGATCAGTGAATTTTGTTCCATGCTGCACCGTTATCTTCTGATATCTATGTGAGCTCATAGCCATTCATTTAAAGTCGGCATCCAATTTATGTATCCCAAGTGTTATGTTCCCGGGACCATAACATAACATCCCCATTATCTTCCAGCAGATCTTGAGGCAAGACAAAGTAGTGCCTTGGGAAGAGTATTATTTTCTTATTGCAGGTGACTTCCACACATAGGGAAAGTTCCCCTGAATCGGGACTTAAAACAAAAAAGGGTTGATGAATATATGTAACTGCAAAAGGAATGTCACTCGACATTCTGAGAAAGAAATAAGGTTTGTGAATTGTCAATTTTGAAACTCAAAGTCACTGAGGAAAGAGATGATGTGTTGGGAAATCGTATACCGTAATCCTTTTGATTGCCAATATTCCTTGACTTACAACAGTTCATTTCGTGACATTCAAAGTTAGAATGGCACTGAAAAAAAGTGACTTAAGACACTTACAAATGTTGCAGCATCCCCATGGTCACATGATCAAAATTCTACCGCTTGGCTACTGACTCATATTTATGACGGTTGCAATGTCCCAGTCATATGATCATCTTTTGAGAAGCAAAAGCCAGATTCACTTAATAACTGTTACTAATAACAACTGCAATGATTTACTGTGGCTAGAAAAGTTGTGAAATGGGGGGGAAATTCACTTAACAACTTTCTCACTTAGCAACAGAACTTTTGGGCTCAATTGTGGTCTTAAGTCAAGGACTACGTGTACTCTGATGATTCCAATAGGCAGGAAAGATGCAAAGAGAACAGATCTTAAGTAGTCATGTATTTCCTCTGACAGTGAAATCTTTGCATATGTCCTTGAATGCAGTTCTTCAGTTTAATCTCAAGTATATCCCAAAGTGGGATCTGAATCTGGATGAACTTGTCAAGGATTGAAAGCTAAGCAAAGCAAGGCTTAGTTAATATTTGAATCAAGCATTAACTTGGATGCAGGAGAAAGGCGATGACAAATCACTTTCAAAACTACTGCCAACTTTGCCTGAAGATGCCCTCAGGTAAAGTTGAAATCCCAATGTTTACATCAAAGCTATCATATTTTTTTTCTGGCAACAGTTTGTGTGTCTGTGACAGACAAATGTATATTAATAACTCTACCTTCCATCTATTTACTACTGGGCTAAACCACCCTTGAAATAGCTGCAGAAAAAGCCACCTCCTCAACGTTGTGCATAAATCTCCATGGACAACTTTTGATCCTGAAGGAGCTTCTTTTGAAAAGGCAAATCAGTCAAGTATATTCTCCTAGAACTTGTAGCATTGCAAAGATATCTCAGTGATGCAGTAAGGCATGATTGCAAAAAATGGACTGACTAAGCCAAAAACTAACCAAAGAATTAACTTTGTGGACTGCAATTTCACTCACATACAATAGGAATCTATATAAAAGGGGTGCTGCGGATGTTTACCCGATCAAATGCACAACAAACCTGAACTTTACTGCTGGACAAGTATTTGCAGAATTAGATGAAATGAAGTGTGCCTACATTAGGAGAGGGGGAGAAAAGGATAAGTGGGTGGCAAATTCTTCCTGAGAAGAGATTAGAAAAGAAAAAGAGAAATGCTTTGTTGTTGCCAATACTAAACAGCCAAACAGCTGTAATTCTGATTCTAGAAAAAAAGGAACTCTGCCAGCTGCTCCATTTGGCAGGGAAAAGGTTCCCCTTGGCCAAGGCAAGAATGATTCACTGGCAGGATGAGCTCAGCATCCCCCTATCCTCTATTTCACACATTTGAGGATGCTTCCCTGACATAAAAAGGTCATTAGTGGAAGACAAGAGGAAAACAAAATGCAAATATGTTTGTTTGATCATAAGCTAAAACAATCAGAACAAAAGGATCAACAGTCACAAAGGAAATTCCATTAAAGCTCTTAGGATAATGTCCAGATTCTATTATAAAATTACAAATCTCCTAAACTACTAAACCTAGTTGTGCCAGCAAAATTAAACAAGAGTGTGCACAGTATTCAACTGCCATAAACCTATAACTTATGATCAACTTAGATACATAACCAAGAATAATGGTTGAGTCTAAAGCTGTTATTATACAGTAGCTGTGAGCTATTTAGTGCCATTTTTAACATCCCTTTTCACTGCACAGCTAATGCCATCAGGAAGTTAGGATAGTCTCTTAACAACCTTTAGGAATTTTTTTAAAGCATACAGTTGATCTACTGCAGGTTTAACCAACTTGTGATTGAGTAAAATGTCTTTGCCTCATACTGCTTCTTGATATTTTAGATTAAGAGAAGAAAAATAATGGGGGGAAATCTATCCTACCTGAACTGCAAAGCATATAGAAGTTTTGCTATTTTCTTTTCAAAATCACCAAAGTAGAGAAAACAGGGGCAGGAACATGAAAAATTGAGAATAAAATGGATAAAAGGAGAGATATGAAACATATTATCACCAGGAAAGCAAACTGGAGCCAACTATTTTTATGGAACTGAGTGCTGATTAATCAGTAACAGTTTTTCCTGAATTAACATATTCAAGCCAAGACACCTTAAAATTCCAATGTCATATTTATAGCTTCCATGGCAGACCCAAGCTAGGGCCTATAATTGATAATGCATCATTAATGTCCTAATGCGGGAATCCATTTTCTGAAAATGTAGGCAATTTTCAATTCATTTTGTATGTAAAATCATTTATAAGAATTTAGAATAGGACAAAATAGGACATTAAAAGAAAACATTTGTACGCACATACTTTTTGTGCATGCTTTGTTTCTCTCAATCCTATGTTGGCTATGCAGTGCCTAGAATATTTTTAGCTCTGGGCACCACATTTTGAGAAGGAGATCAAGAAATTGAGCGTGTCCAGAAGGGAGCAGCCAAAATGATTAAGGATCTGGAAGGAGGGGGGAAATATGAAGAGCACTTGAATTTATTTAGCCTGGAGAACAGAAGACTTCAGGGAGACATGATAGCTGACTTCATGTATCTGAAGGGCTGTCACATAGAAGGAGGAGTGGAATTATTTACAAGTGGTGCATGAAACAGGAATAAATAACAGTGGATTTAAATTGTTACATGTGGACAAATTTCCTAAGATACAAGCTATTCCATAAAGAGACAACTGCCACAGAAGATGATAGATTCTCCTTTACTGGAAGTGTTGACATAAATGCTGCATGGACATCTGCCAGAGATGTGCAGTGAAGAGGATTCAATTAAATGATTCCAACATTTACATTCTATTATATCATGTTTCAACTTGAAATCTCTGAATTCTCAGAGTGGCCATGTTCTGTATTTCATCCGTGTGATGGGCCAAAATACAGTATGTTTTCATCTAGGAATAGCAAAATTCAAAACCTGATAAGATGACGCAAGTGCTTCCATGATGTTGAGACATATATTTACAATGTCATTTTTTGAAACGTCATTTAATAGTCCAGATCAATATCTGTTATCCCAGCTCTGTTATTCAGAGGCAATGACCTCTGCATATGTTAGCTAAGGAACCCTGTTGTATTTTAATTAAAGGCATTTCCAAAAGATGGACTTTATACAGGCAGTCCTTGTTTAGCTACTGTTTGCAATTATCACAGTGAGGAAGAAGTAACTTTGTGATTGTAATTCAACTAATGACTGAGTTGCCAGCCCCAATTGTGGTTGATAAATGAAGACAACCTTTATTATCATTGTAGAAGTGCTTCTAAGACATTCCCTCCTGCAATTGCGTAGCACCACAGGATCTGCATAGCTCCTAAAGCTAATGCATTGTTTATAATGGTCCAAAGAGCAAAGAACCATGAGTTTGCTTCCCAGAGTTCACTTATTCTATTTGGCCTCAATAGAATAACATCTGGCTATCTGCACCTGAAGATTCCTGATAAGGATGAAACCAGTAACACAGTGCCTACTCTTGCTCATTGTAACTTATCCTTATTCATACAATTGAATATTAGATCAATGGAAGATGCCATGCTATCAATTTCAGAATTAATGATTCAATCATAATATGGCTCAATGGAAGTTTGCATCCTACATAGATTTTAATTAAAAAGTAATTAACCATTAATAATTAATTAACTATTTTAAATATCACTTTTAAAAAATCCTGTACTATCAGAGGCTGGTGTCATAGTACCAGGAAGGAGCCAGCCAAAGTCTATACAGATATTTTCCTGAGACATATCATGCATTCTTTCAGCTGCCCATCCACATAGAAATGCTTATGTAGCCCTCTTTCTGGAGCGACCATGAGCTCTCTTGATTTTTACTGAACATCAGAAAGAAAATTGAGAAATTATTGGCCTGGCACTTGATGGAGAAGAACACGTCTTCAGGCGTTCAAACTCACCTGTGTTTGGAACTTTGCAGCCATTCAGGACTAATGGAAGTGGAGTCCTTGAGCTCCCTAGCCAGAGGCTATTGCATATGGTGCCATCAGCCCTCATGCAAGGCAGTCAATGGACAGCCATAAGGGCAGAAAGGCCAGACACTCTGCGGGCAGTTCTGCCTGAAGAACCATTGATAATAAAGCAAGAGGAAGCTGCTAATTAGATAGGTTAGGCATGTTAGGAGGCAATGGGTTAGGCTGGCTGGGACCAGAAGGTATTAGATCAGCAGAGAGCAGTTAGTTGCACTCTCTACCTCGCCTGAGGTTGGACTGAACGAGGACTTCTCGAGGGACTCTTTGTTTCTCTTCTTCTTGCCTCTACCTTTCTTCCTGCCCTTGCCCCTTCCTTTGCCTTTGCCCTTCTTGCCCTTCCTCTGTGGAATGTTCTGCACACAGGGGGGATGGGAGCAGATAGGATAGAGAAGGGAAGAAAAAAGAGAAGGGGAGGGAAAGGGAAAAAGAAAGAAGAGATACTTGAGAAAGGAAAAAAAATATTTCCCCATTTCCTTAGAACACCAAAAGTCACCACCCATACGTCCAGCTCAGCCAACAGGAAACCATTCACAAGAGACAGACATGAACATGGCACCAACCCCTTGGAGAACATAGAGGAAAGACCATCACACAACGGATTTATTTGTGGTTCAATATGACTTTCTGGAGAAGACAGATTTGGAAAGTAAGAATGTACCTGTTTCTTTTTATCCACATAGTCCAGAGTTGCCCCAATTATATCCTTCTCAGGGTCCTAGAGAGCAATCTTATTTCTTTTTCACCTGTGGGTTAATCATCTAAGAGACTTAAAGAGTCATTCCCATGAATCACAAGGAGAAGTTATCCGAGCATCTTATGAGCCTTATCTTTAGGAGATAAGACCAGGGGCAGACTTATCAGTCTAAAAAAGGTGTGAAGATTTCCACAAATGGTGGAATGGATCAGTGGTGAAATTCAATTTTTTTTACTGCCAGTTTGGTGGGCATGGCATGGCGGGCATGGCAGGGAAAGGATACTGCAAAATCTCCATTCCCTCCCACTCCTGGAGGAAGGATATTGCAAAATCTTCATTCCCACCCCACTCTGGGGCCAGCCAGAGGTGACATCATCATGTAGATGCTGTGATTGTATACTTCTGAGGTAGCCACATTCAACAGGCCCAAATTTCTTGGAGCAAGGACAAGATCTAACAAATAGACTTTCATTTTTTTCAACAAGTCACTCTTTCAATCATTTTCCCCCAAGGAAATTGGAAAACACGTGGTTAAACTGCAATTGACAAAATCTTGAATGATGGGGGAAGATGGATATCTATAAAAAATGTCAGGCCAATGGTGTTTAGAGGGGCATTTACATTCTTTTATAAGGGTTTCCCCAGGTAGCTTAATGCCCCTGAAATTCCCTCACTCCCAATAGCTACTTCTTGATTTTACTAAATCAGGTATCAGATTCTGCCGCATTCACTCCAAGAAGACTGAGTCTTTAAAAATATCAGGAGTTAACCAAACTCTCAAAAGGCATAAATTGTCACGAGATACAACTTACTTCACCACATGCATCTGATGATGAGCGGCATTTCACAAAAACCTATGCCTTTTAATACAAATTTTAATGGGAAAAGATGCTAGCAGGATCCTGTTTGTTTATTTGTTTGTTTGTTTGTCATCATAGACTAACACAGCTCTCAATGACTGTAAGCTACTGAATAGGGAAAATATACTTGCTGGGTATAAAGTTCTAAAATCCATGTCAAATGTTTAGAAGGGGAGAAAGATCCATTTGTTTGTCTGTCTGTTAAATTTATTTGCCACCCATCTCACTGTGGGGCTATGCTGGGCAGCTTACAGTAATAAAACAAGGGGGGGGGTGATTAAAAATGCAAATATGACAATAGCAAAGGAATAAAACTATTAAAAATAAACAATGGAAGTACAATAATATAAAATTTAGAAGGTGGGTGGGAAACAGGAAGTGCAGAGGGGAGGCTGGGTCAGCTAATTAGCCCAGTAGCCACCTCCAGTGATATATTCCCCCATTGGGTCTCCAGGCCAACCAGCAGAGCCAGGTCTTCAGGCCCTTACAGAAGGATAGGAAGAAGGGGGCAAACCTCACCCCAGGGAGCAGGATGTTCCAGTGGATGGCACTACAGCAGAGAAGGCTCTCTTCCTGGAACCTAGCAGTCAGAGTTCCTTGACCAAAGGGATTCTCAGCAGGCCTCCTCTGCTGGCATGAGCAGGGCAGGCTTGTCTTAGTGGGATGAGACAGTTCATCAAATAATCTGGACCTATGTCATAGAGGGCTTCAAAGGTCATAATCAACAGCTGCACCCAGAAGCAAACTGGCAGCCAGTGCAGCTTGCAAAGCAGCAATGTGACCTTGGGTCATTTTACAGGCTCCAAGGACTGCTTGTGCTGCTGCACTTCGTACCAGTTGAAGTTTCCAAATGCATCTCAAGGGTGGCCCCATGTAAAGCATACTGTGGTAATCCAGAGGAGAGATCTCTAGGGCTTGAGTGACCGAAGGTAGGGAGTCTTGATCCAGGAAAGGCTGCCGCTGGTGCACAAACCAAATCTGTGCAAAGGTCACGACCATCCCTGATCTTTGAGCATGAACTGTGAGTCCAGGAGAACCTCTAAATTGAGGATGGGGTCTGAATGGGGTAGTGCAACCCCATCTGCAACTCAAGATGTCAAAGACCCTGATCTTGAAGCTCCAAGACCCAAAGCCACTCGGTCTTACCTGGATTCAGTCGTAGCCCACTGTCCCCCATCCAGGCACCATGAGAAGGTAGCAACTCAAGTCACCAAATGTAGACATCTAAATTTCTTATCAGCATATGAATTATATCTCAACTCATAGTTATTTAGAGTAACATGGAGAAAGAGATGCGTTTACTATTTAAGAGAGAGAGCAGGGACTTCAAAGTGCCAGTTTCATTCTCACAAGCAGATGTCGTTTCTGGATGTCTGCAAGGAACTTTGGCACAGAAGATTATCCCAGGGATCTTGGCCAGGAACCTGGCTATTAACAGCTCCGGCCTTTTGGTTGCCTACCTACCTCTTCTGCATCCTGGGTCTGCAATTTGTAGATGAGTTGTCTGTTGCAATCAGGCATGTAATCCTGGCAATATTGGGCAGCAGCTGCTGGGTCTGGCACAAGAAGTAATTGTTGGAGATCACCCTGAAGAGGGAGAAGCACAGTACAACCATTCAGAATCTTTCACGAACATATGATATGCTTATGGATTTTCAATCCAAGACTTTATTGTATAGAAAATTTCCTGTATATTATATTTTACACTCTTAAGAACAACTCTTAACAAAGTGAGACTGCAGCATGTCCATCTTAAAAAATGTATATTTTTGTTGTTGACTCTTACAGAATATTAACTCAGATTATCATTATCCAGAGTTTAACCAGTTAGCCTTCCTCTACCAATTTAATGGGTGGGAGAATAACCCTGGGAGGCAGGATGAGGCGCCACAACCAGGGCAACGGCCAGACAAGAAATGCCTCAATCCACAGAAAAAATGGAGTGGAGACAGCATCTCAGAAGGGACCCTCCTTAATCATCTGGGAAGTAAAAGCAGAGGAGGAGAGAGGTGCTTTCAGACTTACAAAATTATAGTTGCATGCTACTTATAATCTTATAAATCTGTCAATCCTTTGAGGTAGTCCAGGCATGAGTAGTAATACTTATGGTTTGGTTTCCTTTCTGGACTACCTCAAAGGATTGACACCAATTTTGCAAGGCTCAAAGCACTTTTCCCCTCCTTTGCCTTTAATTTTAATTTCCAGAAAACTTCTGTTACACTTTTTCCAACTGTGTTTCTGATGAGGGGTGAGATAGTTCTCACCTGACCATTGCCCTGGCTGCAGTTCTTCCTCCTGTTTCCCAAGGTTATTACAACCATTTGCTTAAAACTGAATAAACCTCATTGCTGTGACTCAGTTTGGCCCTGATTGGCACTCAGTTGCTTAAGTTTTAAATTGCCTCATCAATATCCAAATCAATTTAACCATAGCCCTGGATGTACCTAACTCTCATTCCACTGTGTGCAGATCTCATCTCACTTGATTCAATACAATGGGAACAAACCAGCTAATCTGTCAGCCACTCTGAATTTTGTGGGTTTTTTTAACCTTGCTCTAGAAAGCCAGACACAAATACCTCCTGCCAATTAAGAAGTTTGCAAATAACTTGGTGCAATTCAAAAACTTGGATATTTATATATTAACCACATTTAGTATGACAAAGAATGTTCACTCATTCGTTTCTGCCCTCTCCCTCTCTTTATGGTTTGGATTCAGAATGCCAACAATAGCTGTATTAAATTTTTATGGCTGCCATGTGTATGCAAGCACACTCTCTTATGCAGCTGAACATGCCCCAGCTCCTCTTGCTCAGCCAGTGTGACCCTAGCAGTCCTGGTGAACAGAGAACATTTGCTCCCAATTAATCATCTCCCAAAATACGGCCAGTAGGCCTACTTCCAGAAGAGCTCACAAAATCACTGTTCCCACCTGGTCAGTTGGGACCCACAATTAATCTGCTCCCAGCATTCTTGAGGAGATGGAAAGGAAGAGAAATTAAAAAGCAAGATGGAGGGCGGGCTACAGTGAGTCAGAGTCCAAGGCAAGAGGTCAGGTAGGGACAGAGAGGGCTACATCAAGGCAAAGGAAGCCCTGTGGTTAAAAAAGGAAATCACAGGGGAAGGAGCAAAGCAGCCAGAATTGGGGAAATGTCAACATTCCCACAGTTCAAAAATAAACAGAGAAGCATATATGCACATAAATGAACCCAAACAACTGCAAATTCTAACTATATAGACTTGCAAGAAAACCAAACGCTGAAGAACCCAGTTGATATATGCAAGATAACAGCGCATGGTAGTCAGATATACAACATGGTGCAGACTTTGCCTTTATTCCTTTAAACATATACTCATGGCTAGATTAGTTATGTTGGTTCCTGAGAACATTAAGCATTCACACACTCCTGGTGTAGAAAAAGTGGTCGGGGTGCAACTGCAGTGGTCCCTGGTGGAAGCAGATTATCTCAACCTGTCTTGTTTCAACCCTGCATTCATTATGCACATGACACTGATGGTATTTGATAGTGATCACTGGCAGGACCAGGATAGGGATACTGCATCCTGCTTGATCTCTTAGCTGCTTCCAATATTACCATTCATTATTTCTTCTGAATCACATCCAACATTTGGAAGTGGACAACAATCTGTGCCCCATTCTTGTTATTATGTTTCTTAATTTTCATTATTAGAACTTTTAAATCTTTTGAATTCTCAGCTGTTAAAGTAGTGCCCTCGAGGTATGGTATTTTTGCTATCTCTTCCTCCAGTTTTAAAACACAGTCATCATTTTTCAATCCAGTATCCAACAACCTATTCAGTGTATCAGTTGAATAAATAACAGGAGTGTATGCCATCTTTTGCACTCCTTTGCCAGCTGAAGCCTGTATGCTTTGCCATGTTCCATCCATACTGTGACTTCCTGGTTTGTGTAAAGATTTTGCATAACAGCAATGAGATACTCTGGGATTCCCTATTTTCCTAGGCACATATGGTTTGTCCAGGTGGTTTTCTTGATAAAATACAGGAGTGGTGTACTATTACTTTCACCCTTTTATTTTGAAATGATGCCTTTGAAGTTGTGACTAATGTAATGTCTCTACAACATCTTCCTATATTGTTGTTGTCCAATGTAGGTGCCCACTTGCTTTAGCCTTTATGCATTGAGTGGCTCTACTTGGAATACATAGCCCTGGCAAGGACACTGGAGCTCTTTGTTCCTCCTTTCCAGAAACAGCCTTCCTCCCCCCATGATGAGGCAACCCAACAGGACCCAAGGGAGGGAAGAGTGGATGTGAATCCATAAATATGCAATGAACGTACTAAAGAGTTTCAAAGGACTGAATGTATGTGTCTATTGATTATTTAAAGAAATGCCCTTCACACATTTCAGTTTACACTTTACCGCATGCCACACTGAACATGACTGCAGCACACACAGAGATTTCACACAACTGGAAGAATGGAAGAGAGCTTCACAAGACCCTTTCACCAAATTTGTAATTAATTTATAAATGATAATTTATAAAAACTATTCAGCTCTTCCTGCAAGAGCTGCTTCATCTTGAATCCCACATCCACTGGTTCCCAATTCTTTTGAATACATGTTTATTTTTACTGGAAATTGAAGAGATGATTACAAGATGGAAAAGCTCTATGGAAAAAGGCATCTAGCCCAGCCTGGGAACATTCCTCTGGATTCCACTCCACCTGTCCCCCATTCCATTGCAGAGATCCCTGCCACCATCTTCATCACAAAAGGGAGTTACCCCTCAGCAACCACCCACTGCTAAGCTGACATTTCTAGGCATTCCCTCCGTCACTGCCCAATTACCAGAGGCAGATGGCCCTAAGCCAAGGTTTTCTAAGCATTACAACAAGAAATGCTTGTTCTTGGCCACCCCGAAGTCAACAACAGCCTAGACGCCTTCAAAAATCTTGTGCCCTCTGACATTTTATGCATGGAGAAAGAATGCATTGGGGGGTGGGAGAGGGGTGGAATGAGGCTTTTCTCTGCTTTCGGGGCTATTGAAACTAATAAAGTCCTTTATAGAGGAGAAATTCCTGTCTTCCTGAAGAGTCTGATCCCACTTAAAGATATTCCTATTCTGGAATGCACACAGAATCCTCTGTCTTTTTCTTCTTCTATCCTTTCCTTGGTTTCTGTTTCTTGACTCTCTTTCATTAGCGATATTGTCTTTTGAGTTCCTTGCTCTGTATCTTTTATGATTTGCTTTCTAATTACCACCCAGCCTTTAATCCAGACTGTTAAGATTCCCCTCCTTCACAGATACTTAACTGGAAGCCTTGCAACAGCCTCATTCCTTGGGGAGTTGAAGAAGACTTCGGCTATTGTCTATGATGTATGCTATCAATGAGCTCCTTTTCTTGCCACCCAAAAATAAATAAATAAAGTTGAATGGATCCCAAATCTCAGCGCTGGCATTTTGGAAGGCCCCTTCCCCCAAATTCCAATGTCTGCTGATCATGCTTGCCACAAAGTGGGGAGTATTTCAATAAAAAAAGGCCTCCACATAAATCAGTCAGTATAAGCATGCAAAGCAGAATGCTCTGCTGAGCATTCTCAACCAGGCAGGCAGCATGTGCCGAAGAGGGAAGGAAGAAATGGGAAGATGACATAGTACACAAGTCACTGGCTTTCCATACTTGGAAATCAATTTGTTCTTCCCCATGGCAGCAGAGCAGGGATAGAGCAGAAAAGATCATCTGTATTCTGTGAGGCTTTGTAGCTCTACAAAATATATGCTGGTGCAATTTGTCAATCTCAGACCCCTAGCAGCCTCCTGTAACCTTGCCAGGCACAGTGAAAGAGATGGCACAATTGGCATGGAGGGAGAAGGATCTAGAACTAGGAGATGCTAAGGTGGTTGCGTGAAAAGGTGAGGTGGGGGGGATTTGTACTCTAACATCATTCGAATCAGCAAGGAGACATGTATAAGTTAGTTACACCAGTGTAACTGACTGATACTTTCTTTGGAGTGGGAAAAATGATTTGAGATTTGTGAATATTTTTTCCTACCTCAAAAATGTCTTCATCTGGCCGACGTGCCCCAAGCAAGGTGACCCCATCAATACTGACAACTGGCTGCTTGCTTCGCTTCAGGGGTAATGTTATAGCATCTTCACAGTCAATGTTCAGAGATACACTTTCACCTTTCACACTTAGAGCAATGCGGTGCCATCTGGTAAAAGACAGTAGAGTTAAGCAACTTAGTGGGACAAGGCAGCATTAGCTTGGGAACTTCAGATAGATCCCGATGAGTTTATTATTGTGCAATCCTTCTGCCTTATTCACAAAATAAATTGTATCTTCCAGTTGTAACCTTCCCAAGAACTCTTACTTACTTACTGCATTCATTCATTCATTCATTCATTCATTCATTCATTCATTCATTCATTCATTCATATATATTATAGAAGAGAATAACTGCAGAATGCCTTTCCATTAATAGTGCAATAAACCTTCCATTTGGAAGCATCACAGATAAATCTTACTTTCAGCTGGCAGCTCAGTGAGTTTTGCTAACATGCTATACTGCCAAATATATTTGACAGGTTCCATCTTTTTCTTTTATGTGAACCATGAAATCATGAAAAGCCAAGAATTAGCACTGTGGTGCTTTGGGACAATATAGACATAATACATGAACCCACCTCCAAATTAACAGCTTTTTAAAAGTATCTGAAAAATCTCATGACCAAAATTCACATGTTTTTACTCTTCCTAGTGGAACTTGATAGTTTTAAATAATGTTTGCCTATAATATTTTTCCTATAAACTATTTTACATATCAGCTGAAAGCAGGACCAAGGGTTAAGGTCAACTATAGATCTGGTCACTTAGAAAAAAAGATAATAGCTGTAAGCAGGAGTGTCAAACTGGCAACTGTGGGCTGAAGGAATCACACATAGGCCACGCCCACCCAGCTCCGCGAATGGGAAAAACATGAAATGTCATGTGACAGCAATGTGACATCGCCAGTTTGACACCCAGGCTGTAAAGGAGGAAGCCAGTCATTAAACTTTCCTGCAACTTTTAGTAGGTTTTCATTAATGTATTGTCACCATTACCCCATGTCTGGGCTGAGAGCTGGATGAGGAAAAGAACTGATTCTTGCCTGAGGTGGGTAGGAGTGTTTGAAAACACCTCTGACATAAATCAAGCCTAATATTCTATGCCATTTCCCCCCTACCTCCACTCTCCGGCTGTGTAAGGCTACAATCCTCATGCTGACTGAGGAATAAGGAAATTGTACTAAACATACCTAGAAGGTGTCAGAATAATGCTCTCAGCATTATATTACAGGCACTAAAAATGTTTATTTGTTTTTTTTTTAAAGAAAAAGAACCGGTAGCATTTGATTTTCTTGTAGTGCTTTAATCATCAAGATAATATATTTAACAGTGACATCAGTTCGATGAACATGGATGCATGCAAGAAGGGGGAAATTATGCTTTGGTCACACAATTTTAGTTCTATTAAACCATCTAAGATAATACAGACTTAACTTTGTTTAGTAGTTGCTCTTTCTTAACCACCGAAGAAGCTGTGCTTTACGGCAGTAGCTTTTGCAAACCACAATTGTTGAGATTTTGGCATCTTTAATCCTGGGATTAAAATCCAAAGTGTTGATGTATGTGTGCTTGTGTGTGTGTGTGTGTAAACATTGTCTCTCTCAATCTATCACACAAAGAACCTGTTATGTATCCCTTTAAAGACCACTGCAAAAGTAATCATATTTTTTAAAAAAACACTCAAAGTAAATAATATTTCAGTCATGTCCACATTTAAATAGCTCCCTTCTATTTTTTTCCCCTACCCCAATATCCCAACTCACTTGCCATCAGCCAAGTTGACTCTGTGAAAATGAGGATAGTCCTCAGGCGCTGGGAAACCCAGCTGGTCTTCATAGAGAAAGACGGGGGAACGTCCAATCTCTACACCAAGCTGCTGTACACCACGTTCATCACACAGGGAAAACAAAAAAGATTGGCTGCCTTTGAGTGCTCTCATTGTGGCTAATATTGAAAAGTCCACTGGGAAGTGGCCATCTGCAAGAGGAGGAGATAATGCATCCTGAGAAATCAACAGAACCAGGAACCAAACAAGCGTTTTTAACCCATCCCCAAACGCTCCCCCATTTCACCAACTTCAGGGCTGAACACATTTCCTAGTAGTCCTGAATCTCTGAAGGATTTAGTGCAGAGTAAGTGCAGAATTTTTTTTTTAAAAAAAGGTTCCCATTTAATTTCAAGCCAGTCCTAGTTTCCCATATGGCCACACACAATGCGTGCATTTGTCCTCAGCTTTGTGCAATCTTAGGAAGCAGGTTTTGGAACACATCTGTCTTCTGCACTTTGAGAAATCATTTTGAACACCTGCAAGTGATGATGAGACCCTCAGATACCTATGTAAACCGGCTTTGGGGTTTCGGCTCACTATGCAGATCCACATCGATAGGTTGCTTTACATTACCAGGGAAGAGTTGCCTGGTGGGGGTGATGAAATGAGTCCGATTCTCCAGGCGGAAGGCCAGGTCAGTTTCCTCCGATCCATTCCTCTGAGTGCAGATCCCAGCAGCGATGGTGACCCCATTCTTGCCCTCCCGCACACCAAACGCCTGGAGCACATCCACAAGGCCATCTGGAAGAGAAGCACAGGAGAGGGTCCATCCCAGCCTCACAGCAAAGAAAAATAAGGACGGTTCATGCTTTCCGGCTGGCCGCTTTTCCCTCCTTGTGAAGCCTGTTTAACCCGAGGCAACAAGATGTGTTTGAAAATAATGGGAAACATGTCTCAAATCCCTATCAGCTCTAATAGAACTACTATCCCTCATCACTGTTAAGATACAGTTGAACACAAATTGTCTGGGCAAAAAAAGAGACTCTGAAAGGAAAATCACAGGAGACACCTGGAAAGATTATTTATATAAGGCAAAACTATGTTGCTGTTATATATAATGTTTTTGTATGCTTTTCCCTGTTTCCCCAAGCAGGTATATTCAGTGCAGTCTTTCCAAGGCAGAAGACAGCAGTGAAGCATATCTGAAATAATGTATATTTATCCGCTGAATACACTTTGAAATATTTTTTATTTATTTGCTCAGGAGGAGACATTCAAGTGGAATCAATTCAAGACTATAGGAAGGTAGGATTTGCGGCAACCCTAAATCAACAACTTGACTAGAAATGGAAGTATCATTCAAAATGGATATTCAATACAATTATAAATAATAAAACCCTATCAATAGCCAGATCTGTTGGAAAAGATTACTGAGACAGCCAATTATGGTAGTTGCTTCGAACAAACAAAGTTATCATAGCTTCACCTAAATTCTTCCAAAATCCTTCCAACCTGAGTTGGAGTCTTGTATAAACTCAGCTCGGGGCACATCAGTTTGCCAGGTAAGGGGGAAAATATTTCTGGTACCTAAACAATGCCACATGCCCTTAGTTTCCAAGAAATGGAAACTGAGTTATTCCCTTAAAACTCAAGTTGTCACCCTCAGTGTATTTTGTTTCATGACAAATAATCATACTCTGTAAGAACACCTTAAAATACACATGGAATGGATGGGGGGAAAGATCAAACATCTCCTTCCTGTCTTTCCAACACAAAAGGTTTTTAAAGATGTGCTAAGCTTTTGAATGAGTCAGTGTGTGTGTGTGTGTTTGTGTGTGTGTGTGTTTGTGTGTTCCAGCATAACACTGGAACACCTCGAGCAATTTCAACCAAATTTGGTACAGATGACATACACTTTGGAAAAATACTATGCGGGTAAGACACCCCTAACACCCTGGGGGGGGGGTTCTGTTATGATACAGCCTGTTGTGTCTTAAAATAGCTTCCACTGTACTGCCGTAAAATGACTTCTACTCTACAGCGCAGTGGAGTTGTCATGGTAACGGCTTCACAGTACTCTACAAGGGGGCTCCTTCTGGTAAGAAGGAAAATCCAACATTAGAAATTACGTTTCTAATTTATAAGGGGACATTTTCCCCCTATAAATAAATATCTGAACAACACCAGGTTATCAGCTAGCATATAATAATTTGCAAAACCAAGGTATGCTTGATACCTGAAAAATGCAAATCCCAGGTATTTTTGAAACCCAAACAATTAATTTTCTCATTAGAGTGATAACACTATCCATCTCTATGTGGTCATTGGCCACTAAAAACTTAAAAATGTGCAGCCCAACTACAAAGATTGACCCTTGCCTTGGGAACATGAGAATTCCATCCACAGCAGCTTGTATTATGGCCTGATCTACTGAAAGGTAGCACATCCTCTCGTGTCTGGTGAAGTCAAAACCATCCTAGGGATCATTCTCTTATTTTGCCAAGTTAATTCTTTCAAGATTTGACTGTGACCCCAATCTGTAGGCATCCCCAGCACTGATTGCAGTGTGGAATATAAAACAACACATTGCTAGTCTAAGCACCTTCCCAACCAGCATTCCTGGCCCTGGTCCATCCCCCTTCATCCCCTCCCCCCACTCACTTTTTGATTGATCCATAGGGTTACCCCACTGCAGATGTAGAATGAAAGGAATGTTAAGTAAAACACAGTTAAATAAGACTTCCCCAATACTACTGGCAAATCGGTCTCAAATCCTCTTGCCTTCATTTCTAGGTGCCCAATGAAGTACACTTAACTGAATATCAAACACTTCTAGGAGCAGAGGTGGGCTGCTACAGGTTCTCCCAGATTCAGGAGAACCCATAGTTAATTGTTCTGACCCCCCTCTTCACTCGTTCACAAATGACAGTCAGACAGAACTTCAAAGGAAATATCTTTATCAGTCCTGGCTCAATCTGGCTGCGAGCCCCAAAATAAACGTAGATAAAGTCTCTGGCAAAAAGTTACACAGCAAAAGCAAAAACAAAAAGCTCTTACAG